AAGTTTTATTATTTACAATTAAATCTACACATAATCTAAATTAAATAAATTTTTATTAAAATTTTTAAATAAAGCAAATTAACTAATTCTAATTTATGATTAGGTTGATTAATATATATAGCGGATGATGCATTCACAATTTTTAAATCATAATTGGACTATCCTCCCCATCTACACTATCCACTTTCCTTAATTTTGATCCATACTTGTGATCTAATTCTATCTGGTCATAGTTATTAGATCCCAAACTATGTCTGGTTCCTGTGATACCATTAAATCCAGATTGAAAAGTCCTGTTCTAGACTCCTGTGTCATTATTAAAAGTATTTCTTGCTCTTTGAGCCTAGCCATTCATAAAATTTATTTATACATTATCACTATCGATTCTAATAATCTATTACCCACCAGTAATACTGTTGAAAATTTCAATATTCTAGTTTGTCTGGGGAGTTGTATTTTAATAGAGCTGCTATTGTCTTTTTCTCTCTGAAATATTTATAGTACTCTCTCTATGACTCAATAGCTCGTTATAATTCTTTGAAGATATAGAATCTAGATCTATCTTGGAAATCAGCTCAGATTCACCTTGTAAGCACAATGCTAACTTTTTAGACCTCATTGGAAATTCTTAGCTCTCATTAAACATAGCTTGCATAAATTTGAAACACTCACTTTACTTTTCACTTATCTATATTTTATGATGAGATGAACCCACAGAGTTTCTTGCAGATAGTTAGGGAAGTGGATGATGAACACTTTTTCCATGATTTGTTCTTATACTTGAGATTTTAACTAGAGGTCTTAATGGAAGTAATGATTACTATAATTGTTACTCGTGTAATTACTTCTTTAACTACTACTCCTATTATTACTATTAAATCTACAATTTCTTTTGCTGTTACGCTCTAGCCATTTATGCTTTTCTCTGTTCTGTTTTCTGCTAGAGCATACTTCTCTTTTCAATTCCTTATCTGCTAATTTCAACATGTTTAAGGCATTTTAGAAACTATAAGAAGAACATATGGTGCTAACTTTGTAGTACTATTGGCTAATTCAACTAGGTCATTCTTTATTAAATACCTAATTGAGTTAGGGCATGATTAAATTAGCCTTCCCTAGAATGAAATTCTCTAACCATACTGAATTGATGTGACAAAGTAGAGATCTCACTGTTTTCGAGATGATGCTAAGAAATTATGTTATCTGTGGAGCCAAGTTTCCTAACCTCTATTCTAGTCTAATTCATCTTTGGCTAAGGTGATCTCTAGGATCTCAATTTGCTTAATTCTTCCTATAGATTTGAGCTAACAAAAGCAAACTTGGGTAATGGGGTTTATAGCAATTGTTCTGAATTAGGATTATTTTTTCCCTACGCCATTTAACTCTTATTCAATTTATTTTCAAGCTGAGTCAATCCACTTTTCATCTTGGTGTTTCCACGAGTAACTGCCTGAACTTGATTTAAAAAGTGAAAGCCATTTTTTGATTATTTTTCATTTATCTGAGGTTTACCAGGATAATTAATCTTTTCATTTTTTACATCAATAACAAATTTGTTGTAGAATCTGTTTAGAATCCCTGTTATAACTGTATATCTAACATGATTTACTATCAGTTTCTGGACTTGTCTCTCATTTATCCAGTTTATTCTTTTGATTTTTTCTAAAAATATTATTTAAAATGTAGAGCGATGCTTTACTTACTTTCAAATCTTTTTTTCCTCTCGTATTTTAATTCGCATAATCTTTTTAATATAATGAAGGTTCCTTGACACTGGTATTTCAATTCCATATGCACAAATTTCTTTACGAAATTCTTAAGAATAATGACTCTCTCCATAATTTAGCCAAATTTTCTTAATTACTTTTACCTTCTGAAAGCTTTTTAAAAATTAGCAATAGTCTATTAAAAAATATATGTAATTTCAAATATATCCTTACTGCCTCAACCGGTCTCACCACTTTGAGTAAGTACTATTAGTTAATGTCTTATTCCATGTCTACTAATTGTTTATTCAAGTTGTTCTTGTTAAATTTCATATGATAGTCTATATCCTAAAATATAAGTCATATGTATTACTTTCTGTATTAGTTTGATTTGAAAATATCTTCGGAACGCCTACTGTATTTTAATAACTGCATCTACTTCTCTTTCCTTCTGGAAATGTAACTACTCAACAATGCTTTTCTCAGTTGATTGAATAACCTCTTTTTTATCTTAAATGATCTTATCTTTAATCTAGGATAGCTTTTCGATTCTCTTTTGTAGATGTTGTCGTAGTCTCTCCTTCTAATTTTTTATCAGGCGTGATTATTCTTATTCATATGGAAGGGGCCTTGCTTATCTTTTATCATTATTCGTTGATAGATTTTCATCTTAGCTTATTTCTTTATCACATTAGACCTTTTATAACTAAACTTCTAGGTGTTAAATAAAATTTTCATAGTCATCTAAAGGTACATCAAGATAAGAGGGCTTTGTTTAAGCTTATTAGAAATTTGAAAATGATATATGTCTACGCTTTTGTGGTTTTGTAGTTTAAAATCCACAAGATGTTGCACTATTAGGAGCTATTCTCCTAGAGGAATGTGAAAAAGAAAATTCCTCTATATTTAAATTTTTGGGAGTCCATAACGCAATTCTTTTTAGATTATCAGAACTTTAGTGTGATTACAGAAAATTGCTGTTATTATTTATATTACTATTGCTATTGATATTTATATTGTAGTTATTATTATTTGACTTCGTTGATTTTATTTAGAAGTAATCCTATAGGCTCATATCTCCAAATTGATTCGAAAAACTTTTAGTTAAATCCAATTAAGGTCAATCCTTTTTCAGTCTATGATTAAGGAGTCCCAAGCTAGAAGATAGCTACTATGTCATATTAGAATTTGAATTAGCAAGATTCAGAATGTGATTGGTGTAGACTCTATTTTTAACCTTCTTTGATAGAAGCACAATATTCTAATTCTGATTGAGCATATTAGAATAAATATTCGCAGCTGTTTTCACTCTTTTCTGGATTGAATCATCAATTTATATTTGATTAGATTTCTAGAAATTTTCTCCATTATTAAATAGCATAGCCTATGAAGCATCACTTGGACTAAACAAGTTTGACGAAGGGAATTTAGAAAATGAACCAACAGTAGTTGGCTGCAAGTCAAATTTATTGCTATTATCATACCTAGACTCTCTCATCTTTTGGTTTTACTAATTATAGGATTCATTTAAAAACCTCGGAGATGATTACGATGTTTAAGGCTTTCTAAGTCCTTTGTAGATTCTCAGATTACTTTTGGCTGTTTAGATATTGCGTTTCAACATTTCCCTTAGTTTCTAAGATCTATTAATAATTTCTGAGTTTTGATCTACAATTTACAATTTGCTTCTATTAGTATTTTACTTTTCATCATTTAAACTTATTTCATTGATCTTGATTTCCACTCGACTTGTATTTTAACTCTTTGCCAGAAATTATGATGGAGTTTTTATCATATATTAACCTTCCTAGGTATTAGGCCTTAACTTATTCATGCTCTTATTCTTTCTTGAATACAAATTTCTCTATGAATCACTTTCTTAAACATACTAGCTGTATATGTTCTTTATTTCTCGTTGCTTGATATTACTTTTGTGGAGTCTAAGAAATTATTGAAGAGAATGTGTGGCAGCTTTGACTTTAAGTAGATTTCTTTCAGTTTCTTATGAATTTTCAGGTATTATTGCTGCACTTGACTAAAGTGATGCTTTCATTATAATGTCGTTGCAAAATAATATTAAATTATAGCTTGAAATTAATAAAATTAAAGTTCGACATCTACTTGTAAATTAAATGTGCTAGGGGTTTTGGGGTTTTGGGGTTTTGGGG